CCTTACACAAGTGGAAGATTAAAGTAGACAAGGCCATGTTCGTTTTAAAAACTACAGTTGAAGAAGATATGCTGGAACATGTCAGGGATGTAGTGACTCCAAAGGAGGCTTGGGATATATTGAAAACCCTATTCTCTAAGAAGAATGATGCTGAGTTACAACTTCTTGAGAATGAATTACTATCTGTGTCTCAGAGGGATATGACAATTCCCCAGTACTTTCACAAGGTAAAGTCTACATGCAGAGAAATTACAAAGCTTGATCCTCAGTCACAGATAAGTGAAACAATGATGAAAAGGATTATAATTCACGGTCTAAAACCAGAATTCAGAAGCTTTGTAGCAGTGGTTCAAGGTTGGGCCTCTTAACCTTCTCTCGTTGAATTTGAGAATCTCTTAGACAGACAGGAAGCCTTAGTGGAGCAGATGAGTGGGGCCTCGATTAAGACTGATGAAGAAGCCCTCTATGCAGAAAAGGGTAAAGGAAAGTATCAATCACAGTCTAGTCAACACTACAAAAAGAGCACTGATAAAAATAAAAACTATGAGTCGGGAAAGAAGACTCGTAAGTTTGGAAAAAGAGAACCATCTGAGGATAAACAAAAAAACCATCGTTCCAACGAACGATTTCCTTTCAAGTGTCATAATTATGGCCAAAAGGGATATATGGAATGCAACTGTCGATCAGAACAGTTGGAAGAGGGTAATGTTGCAGCGTCTTTAAGAAGAAGAAGCCTGGGACGCAGAAGCTTTGTATGCACAAGTCAAGGACGAAGTGGCGTTTAGTGCAACTGCTGAAAATAGTGAAGATAGTCTTGATGAATGGATTGTTGACTCTGGATGTTCACACCATATGACCGGAGAGCATGAGAAACTTCAAGATTCTATCAATTATGGCAGTAGTCGGGTGGTTGTGATAACCGATAACTCTAAACTCTCAATTGCACATGCTGGCAATGTAGTGTTTCGTCCAGAAGATAACAACAAAGAATTGAGACTACAAATTGTCTACCACATTCCGGGTATGAAGAAGAATCTTCTTTCAGTTTCACAATTGGCCTCATCTGGTCACTATGTGTTGTTTGGTCCGAATGATATGAAGATCTTCAAAGAATTCAAAACTCGGTCAAAACCTATTCTAAAGGGACGACGGGTTGGTTCAATCTATGTGATGTCGGCTGAGATGGCGTATGTAGAAAAGACAAAAAGCAACCGAAATGCAGACCTGTGGCACATGAGATTAAGTCACGTGAGCTATGATATACTTGACTTAATGATGAAGAAACAAATGGTGAAAGGACTTCCTCTACTAGAAATCTGAAAGGATATTATTTGTGTTGGGTGTCAATTTGGAAAAGCGCATCAACAACCCTTCGAAAGTTCAAAGTATCAGTCAAAATCTCCCTTAGAACTCGTTCATTCTGATGTCTTCGGACCTGTGAAACAGTCATCAATCAAAGGTATGAGGTATATGGTAACTTTCATTGATGATTTCTCAAGATATGTATGGGTATATTTTATGAAAGAAAAGTCAGAAGTGTTCATGAAGTTTAGGGAGTTCAAACTTGAAGCTGAGAGCGAAACTAGAGGTAATATAGGTTGTCTACGCTCATATAATGGGGGAGAGTACCTTGCTGATGAATTCTCAATGTACTTGAAGAAACACAAGATTAAACGACAACTGACTTGTCCCAATACGCCACAACAGAACGGAATTGCAGAGAGAAAGAATCGTCATTTGTCCGAGATTTGTGGCAGCATGTTACATGATAAAAGCGTACAAGGGCGTTTCTGGGCAGAAGCTATGGAGACTGCAGCTTATGTAATCAATAGAATACCTCAACAAGGGCTCAAATACCTGTCACCGTTTGAAAAGCTGTGGAATATAAAGCCTAATGTAAGTCATTTTTTAGTGTTTGGTTGCATTGCTTATGTTTTTATGCCTAATCATCTTCGTAGCAAAATGGAAAAGAAGGAAATTCGATATATTTTTGTGGGATACGATCAAGAAAGGAAAGGATGGCGTTGTTGTGACCCAACCACAGGAAAGTGCTACACTTCAAGGAATGTTGTATTCAATGAAGCTTCATCATGGTGGTCAAGAAATCGTGAAGTACTTCCAGATTCAGGTCTATTTAAGGATAAGCTTGAATCCTCTGATGTCAACTTAAAACTTGATGAAGTAGATGTTATTATAGAGGATGATGAAGCTCAATCCCAAAGTTATTGACCATGGCAAACCAGTAGTTTTCATCCAAGAATCAATAATGAAGACGGTGGTGAAAATTTGAGTTTGAGAAGATCATCAAGACCAAAGAAACCAAATCCCAGATATGCAAATGTTGTTGTAATTGAAGATGTAGCAATAGAACCTGATTCGTACCAACAATCTTGCCTTAAAAAGGAGTGGATCAATGCCATGGAAGAAGAGTACACTGCTCCATTGAGAAAGCAAACTTGGGAATTGGTTCCTAAACCAACCATTGCAAAGCCAATATCTTGTAAGTGGGTTTAAAAAGTCAAACGGAAACTGATGGTTCAGTAGAAAGGTTGAAGGTTCGACTTGTTGCACGAGGTTTCTCTCAAGAATACAGGCTCGATTACGAAGAAACATTTAGCCCTGTAGCAAAACTAACCACAGTGAGACTTCTACTGGCCTTAGCTGCTAGTAAAGGATGGAATATGTGGCAAATGGATGTGGGTAATGCATATTTATATGGAGAACTTGATCGAGTGATTCTAATGGATCAAACTCAGGGCTTTGTAAGTATAACCCATCCACAATATGTATGAAAGCTTAAGAAAGCCCTGTATGGACTAAAACAATCACCAAGATCCTGGTTCGAAAAAATTACTGAATTTCTCGAACATAACGTATATTCTATAACCGCTTCTGATGCAAGTCTTTTTGTTAAAAGTAAAGGAGACAAGGTTGCTGTAGTTCTGGTATATGTAGATGACCTGATAATCACTTGAAACTATGATGAAATGATTACTCAGCTCAAAGAAAATCTCTACACTCGGTTTTATATGAAAGACTTGGGAAGTTTGAATCATTTCCTAGGTTTAGAGTTGAGCTACCAGGTCCAGCATGATGTGATTGTTTTGCATCAAATGAAATATTCCACAGACCTATTAAATAAGTTTGAGATGTTAAATAGCAAGCCAGCTGTAACACCCATGGATGCAAATGTCAAGTTTAGTGCAACGGTAGGTAGAGAATTGGAAGATGCTTCAATATATAGAAAAATTGTGGGAAGCCTTATATATTTAACTCTAACAAGGCCTGGTATAGCCTTTGCTGTTGGAGTTTTGAGTCGTTTCATGCAAAATCCAAGAAAGCCTCACCTGGATGCAGTACGAAGGGTACAAAGGTATATCAAGATGACACTAAACTGGGGTATTTCTTTCAAGAAAGGAGAAGAAAGCAAGCTGTCAGGCTACTATGATGCAGATTATGCTGGTGATGTCAATACACGTAGATCAACCACAAGTTACTTCTTCATGTTGGGATCTAGTGTGGTAACTTGGTGTAGTAAACGACAACCTACAATCTCGTTATCAACAACGGAAGCAAAGTATAGAGCTGCTGCAATGGCAGCTCAGGAGTGTGTATGGCTAGTACAGTTGCTAAAGGATCTTAAACAAGAGGTGAACTATATTGTACCATTGGTCTGTGATAATTTATCTTCTATGCAACTTGCTGAGAATCCCACGTTTCATGCCCGAACCAAGCATATCGAGGTACACTATCATTTCATTCGTGAAAAGGTGTTACAAGGTGACATTGATCTGAAATATATTAACACCACAAAGCAAGTTGCAGATTCCTTGACAAAAGGTTTGGCCAGCAAGAAGTTGTTTGAGTTCTGTGATGCTATGGGAATAGTTAAATTAGGTGTTGATGGGAAGTGTTAAAAGTACAAAACCTAGATGCATTAGTACAACACCTATATGTATGTGCAAGAGTTTTTAGTGGGTAGTTACTTTATTTGTAGAAGTTACCTTGTAGTTGTCAGTTTCTTTTCTCGTGTAAGCCTCATAAGGCATGCACTCTTCAGTTCTTTTCACGTTAATGCAGAAGTAGTTTTTCCTTCTTCTTGTTTGTGCTTTCCTGTGTAATCTTACTGTGTGTAAAAGTGTGTGTTCTCTTAGCCTTCAAGTTTAACAACATATCCCGTTAACTCCACGTACCGCTAGGTCAAAGACTTTTTTTATGGACGACATTTTTATCTTAAAATAATTTGTGGTTATTGAAATTGTGTATGATATGGAAATGTGTATTGAAGTTTTATATAAAAGATTTTTGTTATTAAAATTTGTTTAGAAAATTATTTATGTTATGAATTATTGTAAAAAAAGTTTATGTTAAGGAATTGTGGAGAATTTTTTTACAGAGAATCTATATCCAAGTCATAAAATTACGTATAGATTATTTAAGCATGCGTAATATGAATTTATCTAGTATGTATTGTTTTGTTTTAGTTCTACGTTTTATTCCATGGCGCAAACATATTAACTTATTTTACTTTTAATGTATCTGACAAACTTTTCATAACCAGGCCACTTATAAATCTACTAACAAAATTCATTAGACAAGAATCAAATAGATTTTAGTAATTTTTCTTCTATTTCCAACTGATGTTTGTAAACTGGTGCAATAAGCATCTTTTGGGATATCTGGTGAGCCTAAACAGTAGACAGTGTTCCTTTACATATATAGGATGCGGCGAACGGGGTTCCTTTAGAATACAAAAGAGATCACAACCTTTTGGGAATCCCCACTAGCTATCGACCTTAACCCTTCACATTTGTCAACCCCTTAATTAACCATATTTAGGAATATGAACCCTTCTGAAAAAGTCAGACATTCTTGTTTCTTTTATCTGCCGATGCCTATATAAACTCTACCACGATGATCACTTTTCCATAAAGACATCAGCAACACACAGATATAAATCGTATATCACATTCGAGAGAAGTAAAAGAACTAAGAATACAATGCCTGAAATTGAAGGTTCTCCGGGCACCTCGATGCATGGAGTCACCGGCCGGGAACCAGTGCTGGCCTTCTCTGTTGCCTCTCCGATGGTGCCCACTGATACCACGGCGAAATTTGACCTCCCCGTGGACTCTGAACATAAAGCAAAAGTCTTTAAGCTCTTCTCATTTGCAAACCCTCACATGAGAACCTTCCATCTCTCGTGGATCTCTTTCTTCACCACTTTTGTCTCTACCTTTGCGGCGGCGCCACTCGTTCCCATCATCCGGGACAACCTCGATCTCACAAAAGCTGACATCGGGAACGCCGGTGTTGCCTCCGTTTCCGGTAGTATCTTCTCGAGGCTAGTTATGGGTGCGGTATGTGACTTATTGGGACCTCGTTACGGCTGCGCTTTCCTCATCATGATGTCAGCGCCTACCGTCTTCTGCATGTCTTTCGTCAGCGACGCTAGTGGCTACATAGCCGTCAGATTCATGATCGGATTTTCTTTGGCTACGTTCGTGTCGTGCCAATATTGGATGAGTACCATGTTTAACAGCAAGATCATCGGGCTGGTGAACGGAACGGCCGCTGGGTGGGGGAACATGGGTGGTGGAGCCACGCAACTCCTGATGCCGGTGTTGTTTGAGATCATCAAGAAGGCCGGGGCAACGCCGTTCACGGCTTGGAGGATCGCGTTTTTCATACCAGGGTGGCTTAACGTAATCATGGGGATATTTGTGTTGACTCTTGGTCAAGATTTGCCTGATGGTAATCTCGGTGCTCTACAGAAGAAGGGTGATGTTGCCAAAGATAAATTCGGCAAGGTAAACCTTTATACCTAATTAGGATGGCTAAGCCATTCATCATTTATATACCTTCCATTTATGGTATGTCCTTTGTCTCTAATTTGTTTCTCGTTTTGTAGGTATTGTGGTATGCTGTGAGAAACTATCGAACATGGATCTTTGTACTTCTCTACGGTTATTCCATGGGTGTCGAGTTGACCATTGATAATGTGATCGCAGAATACTTCTATGACAGGTTTGGATTTGTTTTACACTACACAAATGTTTGATTATATGTGCAATTAAATTAATTAAATAAACCTTGTTTTCCATTGAATTATTTACAGATTTGATCTAAAGCTTCACCTTGCCGGAATCATTGCTGCCTGCTTCGGAATGGCAAATCTTCTAGCTCGTCCATTTGGAGGGTTCACATCGGATTACATGGCCAAACGATTTGGAATGAGAGGTCGACTCTGGAACCTATGGCTACTCCAAACAGCTGGCGGTGTTTGCTGTGTCTTCCTAGGCCTAGTAAACTCGCTACCATTAGCCATCACCTTTATGATGCTCTTCTCCATCGGTGCACAGGCAGCATGCGGAGCCACCTTCGGCATCGTTCCCTTCATTTCCCGGCGGTCAATGGGTATCATCTCTGGTATGACCGGTGCCGGAGGGAACTTTGGATCAGGGCTAACCCAATTAATATTCTTTGCGTCTGCCTCATTCTCGACTGCCAAAGGGTTGTCTTATATGGGTATCATGATCATACTTTGTACACTTCCTGTAAGTTTTGTTCACTTCCCACAATGGGGAAGTATGTTTTTTCCGGCCAGTCAAGACATCGTCAAAGGTAGTGAAGAGAATTATTATATTGCTGAATGGACGGAGGAGGAGAAACAGAAAGGGATGCACCAAGCAAGTCTTAAGTTTGCTGAGAACAGTCGATCAGAACGTGGAGGGAAAGTGGCATCGGCTCCAACACCACCCAACGCCACCCCCAATTATGTTTGATACTATTTGATTCCTATTATTGAATTAATACAAAGATTGGTTGTTTAAACAACAATGTTCTATTATCTTTGACATGTAGTTATAAGATGCAAATCTGATCCAATTGGCAGTGCTTGCAGCCATCAGATGATGAACGTGTAAGCATTCTATGAATTGAAAAGGCTTTGATGAATTTATTTGGACAGTTTTATGAAATGTCCGAGTTACAAGCACTACAAGAAATCTTGGCATTACCGGCGACTCCTTTAGCGGCGACATGTAATTGACGCGTTACATTACCCCATCCGTCCGATTTGTTTTCAATCCAATGGTTGTAGAGGAAAGCGAAAACGCGCTGACTTTTCCCTCCAAGTTGTCGCCGCTATTGCCTGTCGCCGCTAATACCCGTGCAGATAATCCCTTTCCAGTTCCCTTTTCCGCGACATTTTCTCCTGCTGTTTCTTTCCTTCTCTCGCTCTCGTTTCTTGTTGCTGCTTCTCATTTTCATTCACCAGTCGACTAAGTGGAGAACGAAGATTTAAGTCGGTGCTAGCCCCTCCTGCCGCCACAAGACCGCCACACCTTCCCCCAAAACCGGCGACCATTGATCTCAATTCGGAAATTGCCCACATTCAAGGTCAAATTCCTCCTATTTCCTATTATTTTTTTATTTTGGATGATAAATTGGTGCTATGTCGGAAATTGCCTCTTGAATTGTTCTTATATCACCGATAAACACAAGACCCATTCGTATTTTTTTTTCTTGCTTATTATCTGTTCATGAATATATAAATTGATGCTATATCTGGGAAATTCCCTCTTGAATTGTTATTAGATCACCGATAAACACAAGACCATCCGTATTTTTTTTTCTTGCTTCTCTGCGCATGAAGGATCGATGACGAGGAATCAGGAGGTATCAAACCTCCTGATTTAACCAAACTCCATTACAAAATATATATGATCAGCCCCTCAACTTTTGATTTGTACGGTTTTGGTCCCTTGCTCTAAAAAATAATTAAAAATCTAGTCTTAAACAAAGAAACTTCAATTAAAATCTTCAAAGTTTACCCTATTATGGAAAAATCCTTTTAATTGAATCCAAAGTTTTTTATGCATTTTGTGTATGTTTTTGTAATTTTTGTTTATACCATATTGGCTTAAAAATGAAATTTGGCATGAAATTGAAATTGGATGTATATATACATTTGTTTGATTTTGTTTAATTAGAAAATCAAATTAATTTACCTTTAGAATCAAATTAAGTTACCTTTATAAAATCAAATTAAATCAATTATAAAACCAACTTAATAGTAACATACTTTTAGTGACTTAATGTTGGTCATTACAACTTTAGCTTAATTAGGTTATTAATAGCAACGTACTTCTAGTAATTTTAATTTAATTATAAAATAAAATAAAATTAATTTTAAAAAAATCAATAAAAAATAATAAATTAATTGTAAAATCAAATTAAAGTAGTTTTAAAATCAAGTTAATGTTAATATTAAAATAAAATAAAATTAGTTTAAAAAATTAAACTGAATTAATAGCAACATACTTTCTCTTTGCTCCTCGGGTATATTTATATATATAGGATATCAGTCGAATCGAAGTTTTTCGTAAGGCGAATTCCAATCGCCAATTGGTATTTTATAGTCCTGCAGTCGAGCAACAATACGTAAGTGGTTAATTTGTATTTTCATATAAGTGTTTATATCGTCAAGGGTATTTAGTAATCTAATTTTTATGATTTTTATTATTTTTTAGAAATACAGAATGCTTTACTCGAGGAGATCAACCAACGAACCTAAGCTACTTCTGAAGCAAGCGGTCTAGCACCAACTGATATAAAAAATTGTTTTGAAAGAATATTGGGTGTTCGACGCGGACATATCAGAGGCATTGGGTGTAAACCCCCTACCGTTGTGTCCATGTACGATCAGGAACAACCAGTGACACAATAACAACCACAATCACAAGTAATTGTTAGTAAATGCTATAATCGAAAGTAGAATGCTATAATGATATGTTGGTTATGATTTGATATGTTGATATTTTGTAGTTTGGTAATTTTTGGAAAGTACAATGCTATAATGGAAAGTAGGATGGTATAATGACATGTTGGTTATGGTTTGATATGTTGATATTTTGTAGTTTGATAATTTTTGGAAAGTACAATGCTATAATGGAAAGTAGAATGGTATAATGATATGTTGGTTATGGTTTGATATGTTGATATTTTGTAGTTTGGTAATATTTTGGAAAGTAAATGCTATAATGGAAAGTAGATGTATGTTTAAGTGTATTTGATATGTTGATATGTTGATATTTTGTAGAATGTATAATTAATTATAATGCTATTATGATGGGCGATTTAATATACTTTATAAAATAAGATAGTTTAATACATATCGATGGAAGGCAAACGGGCAACAAGCTGCGCCGCTAGCCCTTTCTGGATGGCAAAACCAATTCTTTTGAAAACAACATTTGTGGATCTAGGAGATATGACATTAGAATGCATGACCCGTTGGACTCTATTGAGGAGCTCCACCGCCTCTGGTGCGAGAAACCCAAATGTATCGAATGTAAAAGGTACAAACACATGTTGATTTTCTATACATGCATTCTCGTGTACCACTTTGCACACAGCGGCTTTCAAAGCGGCATGCCCTGCTGTGAAACCCCCGCTCCCCAAACCAACGAGAGGAGAGACCCCAGTAAGATCCACGCATGCATGCTTCCCTCCTATCCATCCAAAGACCAAAATGTCAGCCGGTCTAAGTGTGGACCTACCATCCTGCGGGTCTGTCAAAAAGTTCACTGGCGCTTCTTTCTTCACAAAAATAACAGCACGCCGACAAGCATCAAAGAGAACATCCCGAACCATATCATGTCTGTACTTGAAACCAGGGAGCTCTCTACAATGAACCGCGTGTTCCCCAAAGGTATCCAAACATGCCTTGCGGCAAACTGGACATATCTCGTCAATTGGGAATAGGGGAATCATGAGGCGGTTGCGAAGGATAGTTCGGTACTCCACAGGAGACATATGTTACCCAAGACCATCAATAGGGATAGTAAGCAGAAAATCCTGAGCATGAGGTGCCCGCAGACACTCGAAGACTGCTTTCTGTCTGACAGTCATGTCGAAGTCGACTTCCATATCTTGGACAATTTTGCTAAAAAGGGCACACGCCAAAGCTTTTTGGGATTTAGGGGGGGCGGTGTCCTTATTAGTGAAACCGCTACAGTCAACTCCCGGAATCGTATCGCGAAGACGAGTCATAGCACATACGTAATCCGAGTCCATACCAAATACGCCACTGTCACGTAAGATGTGGTCTTGTAATGCCAAAGATTGGGCCCTCGAGGCTACAAATGCGTAGGAGGAAACCTCGTATACCGAGTACAAACCCAAACCACCAAAACGAATAGGTAAGGAACCAGACGCCACTGAATGTCTCCAAAGAAGGGGCCTCCACATACCACCATATCCTCGATAGACCTGCGCAATCCTTTGTCAAAGAACAAGGCTGCCTCTTCTATGTGTACCGGCTGGCATGTCCTTAAACGCTGCAAACAATACTAAAGGACCCGACCTGTTCTGCAGCATTGGAAGAGTGGTTTCGCTCATTGCCGCCACCAAATAATGAAGGAAATGATGAGGATGAGTAGTTACTTTAGGATTTTATGAAATGTTTTGTAATTTGGAAGAATACTTTAGAATGTGGTATGGATTAATATTTTGGATTGATTGTATATGGATTAATATTTCTATAAAAAGTTATCAGATTTTATAAATGCTATATGGATTAATATTTGGATTGATTATAAATTTAATGTTAAATAAATAAATTAAAAAAAATTCAAAACAGTTTTTGCGGCGACATCTTTTGTGACGACATATATGTATTAGCGGCGACAAACCTTTAGCGGCGACGCTCAGTATTAGCGGCGACAGGTCAATAGCAGCGACGTGCAGTATTAGCGGCGACAAGAAGCGTATTAGCGACGAAGAATTACCGGCGACGCATTTGCAGCGACACGTTGCCGGTAAAGGTATTAGCGGCGACAACCCTAACCTTTAGCGGCGACAGGCGTCGCCGCTGTTGCCCAATCTTCTTGTAGTGAAGATTAAGATTATGTGCTCTTGAATCAGTTGTTTATAAAAAGGATTTGTGAAAATGTATGGCTACAAGCGTTTGAAGACCTCCAACACAGTATTTTACTAAGCTTGATGTCTTCGACCTTTTTTTCCTCCTTAAGATTTTTTATTTTTTTATTTTTTTTATTTTTAATTATTTTTATTTAAGTTTATATTGTGTGCCATATAACTAGTAATTGGTTGTATAAGCATCAATAAGCATCAATGTCGAGGAATTTTAAAGGGATTTAGAATTGGCAAGTTCGTAAATCTAAGTGACTTCAAATGGAACCACTACAAGAAACACGATCATTAGCAGCCACAGGCGTCGCCGCAAAAAGGTTGCCGTTGTTGCCTCACTGCAAATGCTCCACATGTCACCGTCAATGCTCTGTGTCACGCCGCAAATGCTATGTCGCCGCTAATGCTGTGTTGCCACTAATACTAACATGTTATCGCTAATGCTGTATCGCCACTAATACTAACTTGTAGTGAACGACTTTTAACAAAGATGACATAATATGGACTTTTAAGGGATTTTTAGCATTACGCTAAATACGTTGGTATCTTAAAAAAAGGTGTATTAATCTTCTTGTTCAGTTCTTGTCGGTTGCTTAACACTACAAGAAAAATGGGAATTAGAAGCGACACAAATTCAACTCAAACTACTCTTCTATCTTCAACTGTCAAAGCTCATGCACAATTTAAGGACTATTCTTTTGCCAAATTGGTTGGAATTCTCAAATCTCATGAGAAGGAAGTTCTTAAAGAAGCAAAACGTGTTCCAAATACAAGTCCATTAGTTATTTATTTTTATTTTTTTCTAAATCGGAAGGATTTAAAAGCAAATCATCCAAGGTGGCTCAAGATG